AAAAGGAATTGATTTTCACTAAGACATGGTTCATAACATTAATAATGTATTCCCAATTTATGTATTCAATCATTAGAACTCATTCTTTCTATTTTATCCTCATATACAAGAGTCTCAATATGCATTATCATCTATATGACAAACAAAATAAACATCTATTTTATTAATAGTCAAAATGTTCACTCCCACTATCCCTGAACTAATATGGATAATAATTTCCCTCTTAGTTTTTTTTCACATTTTAAGCTTCGGGAGTATGATTCCTATTCCTAATTTTACAATTATGGGGAGTAAAAAATTACAACCTAGGAACTAAAGAGTGTTTTCCCAAACAAGAACTAAGCAATAATTGATTAAACAATTCATGTATTATCTTCCAATTAGAATTGAATATCACTCAACAATAGTTCACAATATTATATAGTAATTAGATTTTTTTTTATCAAGACATGTGACTATTCAATGATTTAATTAACAAAGATGCCATTGTATAATTTTCACAAAAAACCAAGAAAGTGGATCATACATATTATGATTGAATGAGAAACCTTTTATTTCAACAACTAGTGAGAGAGACCAAAAAAAATGTTGGGTCTCTTTTGCCTAGTGGCTAATAAAATTTAATTGATTCAAAGAGTCCAAATATTAGTGTTTTTATGAAAACACAATAGTAAGTAGGTAGAATATCAATTAACTTCTTAGGAATCAAATGTTCAGATATAGTGGATTATCAATTGACTTCCCAACAATCAAATGTTCAAATAGCTATTGATCAATTTATTTTAAACCATTGTTGATCATCACCAAAAAATAGCAATATTGTGAGGAAAGATAAGTAGTCAAAACAGACATGCTATCCTCTAGCACAACAATTCAACAAAAAAAAGAGACTCAAATCAAATATATGTTATAGTAAACGTGCATCAAATATTTTTAAAGCTTGAAGATATGAGGGAAAAAGGAGACAACTCCTAATATATTGCAAGTCTATAAAACAACTTCAAAACTTCAAATGTTTTAGGAACAAGTCTCCTATTTGCAACAAAACTTAATGCAGTCCATAAATTAGGCAAGAATTCCAATTAAAATCCCCAAAGTAATTGGTTATACAAAAACTAATTCAAACCAATAATTCTAAACTGCTCATCCATATGCAACAGACATATCTTGAGAATAGAATAAATAAAGGCAAAGAGAAAAGCTTAGCTGTTTTCACTGCAATGCCTTAAGCAATCCGCTCTCAGAAGTAGTGATAATCTAGTTCACCATTATTGACTCGTGCACAACATCAGGTCCAAACTAAATCTTGATTATTTGCAGTCGATTGTTTGCAGTCTTGGATGCAATAGGATGGTACCCGATTTGTTCCTTAGTTTGATTCACTGCTTCAATCTCTAGCCCTTTTATTAGACCTCTTCTCTGATGGAGTCTGGTGTAGGCAGTCGTAGGAGCTCAATGTTGCAATAAAACAAAATAGTTACCAGAGACAGTCCTTTACAAGATGAATACATCTAGGTTTGAACAATCACACTAGGTTGGAGATGTTTGAGTTCCAGTTCGTTAGAAGCCAATGCGTAGTGAAGCCAATGACAATGTGTTATGGTTTTATGCATATTGTTGCCTTATGCACAGTGACGTTTGACTAAAGCTAGTACGCAAAAGAAGATGGGTGCTCATACTTGGGCACTCAAAATAGGTCCAGARGCTTGAACGACTTTATGCATCGAATAGCTCTCAGCTTTGAGTGGTATGAATCCTAAAAAAAATGTAAATAATTAATTAAGATGGGTAAGCAAAGAGAGCATGAATCATTCAAGAATCCCAATAAATAAATAAATAAATAAATAAGTAAATAAGGGTTTCTAATACCCGATTTGGATTTGGGACTGATTTCCAACTTTCAATTCTCTAGAACGAGCAAATCTTATTCTTAGATGCGTAGAGGATAAAAAAACCCAAATATATGTAGGGTTTCTTGACTAGAAACTCTGATCTGTGAATATGAGCCATGGTTGTATCCTTGGTCGAAGAAAATCACCAATACATGCTTTCATTTGCAGTGATTAAATGACTATAGCTGGATGTTGTCGGTTCGTTCGGAGATGAGAAGAAAGAAAAACTCGAACAGGTGCTTCAGTGAAGACAGGAGAAGAAGCACACCCTGAACTCAAACGATGGAGGCGATTTGTTGTTGAGACACGGTCTCAGTGGAGAAGTATGGAAGCTTTCGAACTGGGTCATGTCTGCTCAGAGATGGGAGAGACGAGAGGAAACCCCTGAACAGGTTCTTTTGAAAGAATCTCCTCGCTCAAGTCGATGAAGAAGAAGAACTGATATCTACAGATGGGAGAGGCTGTCGAACAGGGTTTCGGTGGAGACCAGACGAAACCTTCGAACAAAAAATTTTCTCTCTCCTTTCCCTCTATGAAGCTTAAATGATGAAGTCCGGTTCAGTGTTGCGGGCTACAGTGAAAATAATATGCCAGTCGATGCTGGGCTCTGATACCAGTGAAAGACCGAGTAGATGCAGAGATGGACGACTGAGATCTTGGCGCACCAAATCTGCATACAAGGAGAAAAAGAATGCACAATATAGGATCTGAGACACCTATCTCTCAAACAAAATGCAAGAGAGAACTGTCAAATTTGGATGGGGCCGAAATTTGGAGGTTGCTTGACCTTCCAAGTTATCTTGTTTTGAGGAGGGAACTTAAACCAACTTGAACGTTTGGAGGGAAGACCGAGTTAAGGCCTCTCCAGATTGAGACAAATGTCTCATACTGACCAAGGATCGTGCCACATGGTCATCCAGTCTAAACTGGGTCAAATGGATATCCATTGACCCAATAAGAGCTAGAATTTGGATCCAGAATAATCCAACAATATTGGTAACTCTATGCATAAAAACATTTTTAAATAAACAATTAAATAAATTTATTTTTATAGAAAATAAATAAATAGGTAATAATTTAAAATGAATGATTGTGTGTGAGAGTATTGCATGAAGATAGCCATAAAATAATCATCTTCCATCAACATGTGACTTGTCACATGACCATTAGATATTCGAACATATTGAGGATTAAATGAGGGCCTATGCCCACTCTACCAACAGAATTGAAGTGTTTTAGGTTTGATTAGGATTAAACAAGGGCCTAAACTGGACGGACTTGCACCCTTAGGCCTTAGCTGAAGTTGAAATTGAATTAATTATTATATATTTTAACCATTAAAAGGCTAAAAAATACAAATTAAAAATTGAAAAGAAGAAAGGAAGAATAGAAAAAGCATTTTCAACCGCACAGCAAAAACTGCAAGTTGGTTAGGAATTTGACCAACAAACTAAAAGAAAAAGTTGGTTAAGAAGAGAGATGGATGGGGGTTCTCAATGTCTGGTGTGACACCTCCTCAAAGCCAAAGGCTTCATGTGACACCCGAGAGGCCGAGACAACTCCCCAACCATTAATGGCATCATCCTCCTTCGCGTGACAATCATATAAATATTAAATACCTTTTCTGTGTRCCAAATATKAATTTTATAAAACTGATAAATGGAATATCGGGCCCAGGTGGGCTTGGTTGCCATGGATGTCAACGGGCCGGATTTCATCAAGGGTCCAACCTGATTCAACCCAATCCTGACCGACTCGTTCACAGTACACCCAAACCCATGGTTCAAAGTATTATGGATTAAAAATGTTTTAAAAATTCAATCAGAGCATCTGTGAGAAGAGTATAAACCTTTAAAGCTGGCCACGTGTGTTCCATCCCTTATTTAATAGTTAGAGGGACTGGATCTGCTCCTCACACATGGCATTTCATGGGACATTCTACCGTGTATTGAAAATATCTCCCGGATTTATGTGTTATTATTTAGGAGAGATGTGCTAGTAGAATATGGCTGTGAGATTATTGTGAGGCGCCCTGTGTGAGGAACAGATCCTAATTCACAGTGAGATGCATCCAAAAATTGATAGTTATTGATTATTATATGATACACACCTTTATTATATATTGAACCTTGCCTACATACACCCAATCCAACCGAGATCAGCTTCTATCAGGACAAAATTATGTTCACACCATTCTAACAGCTTTTTTCACCCTTACATTGGGGAATATCTCCCCAYAAAATAAAGAACACAAGAGCCGAGATATTCTGAATAGAAGGCAATTGAGGGTACTAAAGCCGAACTCCAACCAAACCTATATATACACACATACAAATATGTCAATGTCACGATGAAGCAATATCTACACTCTACAGTTACAGGTAAGGCTTAAGGCTTAGCACGGGTTCACCTCAACCTGGGTGAATCCGATTGAAAACTCGATAATATTATGCCAGAAGTTAACCTGATGGGACCGGGTCAGTGCGGGTTTACCACTGACATTGATGGTAGCTCAAACGTATTTGTCCAATACCGTTAGATGGCGGATGAGACGATCCGGTCCGGTTGACTTTTTATGTGGACTTCATGGCTATACATACAATCATGCATGCATGCTTTGTGGATCTCGAGGCACATGATTTACTACGCATCTCCACGTATTTCCACGTAATAACTGATCTCACGAATCAATTCTCTCCCATCATCGCATGTCTATAAGTCTATACACCTCCATTCATACCTCATATGATATGATACGATGATGATGCTTGGGAGATATTTGGAAAGTTATATAAGATCCCAATCCAAAGGTAGAGAGCTCGAGCCTACGCATCTTCTTAACATTACATGGTTACACCAGAGATCTATTAGTTTATTGGCACAAAGGTTTCATGTTTCCACGTCGGCCAGCAAATCGAGGATCATGGTTTGTTTTTTAAATTTAAGTTTTTCTTGGTAAACACGATTTAGTTTAGTTTAATTAAGCAGCACATAATGATGTGATTAGGCCACCATTTGGAGGAGAGTTGCTGCTGTATTGTATATGCACCTGGCGTACGATAGCACCGGCTTTTCGTCTCAAATTTTCAACTATAAAAAATCTGCTTCTGTTCCCTCCCTCAGTCTACTTTGCGACTTCGTTTTCCACATACTCTCTCCTCTTCTTTCCACACCTCGTCCCCGGACCTCTCGTTAATCTCCACCAATGGCAAAAGATCCAGTTCGTGTTCTTGTTACAGGAGCTGCAGGTTTGTTGAAAGATTTTTTTCTTTTTTTTCTATCCGATGTGCTTAATTTCACCTGAGAGTAGGAGATCAATCTAGTTATAATCCTCAGATATTTTGTTTCTTTGTATTTTCTCGAATCAATGGAAGATCTGATAAGACTAGAGCTTCAAGCTAGTTCTAGGGTTCGGGAACACTTATTTTTCCGCTGAAGCGGATTTGAATTTTATGATATGTTATTTTGGTTTGCTTGCTCTATTTTGTTCAACCGGATAGGAATTTTTGGTGAAATGCGAGATTAAATCGCAGGGTTGCTTGGGTTTGTCTATTGGATTGTTGAATCGATGGGTTTTAGATGGTCTTAATGGTCGTAGTTACATGCTTTTCTGCTACCTAACCTCACTGAAAGATCACTTTATGGAAGTTGTACTATACCTATGTAATAGATCCAGTTCTTACACCGGTTCTATGATTTTCTTCCTTTTTTACGGGTTTTATTTCTCATCGAAGGATCGTGAACTTATTTGATTTCGAATTCTTCTGCTTTAGTAATCTAASCTTTTAACATGTTTTGACTAAAAGTGAGCATTTGACTAGTTCGAAAGAATTGTAGCATATTGTTGTGTTTCCTCATCTAATGGTGTTAACTATAATAGATCTTATGGGAGGCAACAACTTTTCTAGTAACTGAGTAGGTCATGGGGTTGTCATTGAATGATCTCAAATTTGATGATTTTGAAACGTCAACTATCTAATTTTTTGGTTGCTTCGCAAGTACTAGCAGTAAAATCTGTGTAGGGATTTGTCGGAACACCGCTGAATGGGTGGGGGTTTTATTTGAGATTCCGAATAATTTCATTTTCCTGACTGGTTGATATGATGCTTGTTCATCATAAGGATGAAATGCTTGTTCATCAAATTTGATGATTTTAAATGTCATTGCTGGATCCACTTTTCTTATTTTATATGCAAACCCCATGTTTAGTCAACCCTGTTTTTGGTATTCATGTGAAGCGTATATAGTTCTCATTTTCAGTGATACATCTGGAATGTCGTTACATCTGTCATCCCTTTTCTGAATCATTTTAGCATTGTCACTACAAGTCCTTTCCTTGTGATTGATTCTTCTCATTTTTTCTCTCCTCAAAAAAAAAAAAAATAAATAAAACAGCTTCCTTTTTTTCTTCTTTGCCTTTTATTAAAACCTGATGCATCTGAGGTGGTCTGATCTTTATATAATTATGTTGCTTTGCCTTGTTCTGAATTCTCTTATTGTTGATGAATTATGTATTTTCTTCCTATATATATTATTAATAAATGATTTTGATTGGTTTATAGATGTCTTTCATTCACAAATAAATTGCAAGTTAAGTAGAAGGATCTGCTGTGCTGATTGCAGCATATAATGATTGGAAGTTGTTACTTCATGGGATCTGGTCCTCTGGCATGAGGAATTATATGTAGATGCTGTGACTTACTGACCTGTTAATTTACTCAAATGGCTTAAATGCTTAATATAGTATATCTAATTATATTAAGTGTTCATTTCCTTGTAATTCTGAGGTTTTTTATTACACTTGATTTTATATTCTGAATACAAGTGGACGAGAAATAATTAGTTGTAATGTGGTTGGTTGCTTATTCAATATTCAGTGCTGATGCTATTCAAGTCATTCAATAATTTAATTTTGTCATAATATCAAAATATTATTCTCGTCTATTTACTCAATTTATAAAATCCTAGTTCTTTGCCCATTATTTTCTTTAAATTTATTGTATTTTGGCTACCCCTGTTTTCTTTTCATTTCACCTTAACTCAAATGTTTTCATTACATTTCTAGTATCTTTCATTCCATTTCTTCCTTTTTTTTTTCAGAAAACTTCCATTTTGGCAGAACTAGTTTAACTCTTAGTGCCATTTACTTTCTTTCCTGCTTCTCATTATCAAATATTAAAATGTGAATGAAAGCATTATCATTACTAATGTCGCAATTTGTTTTTTCCATACCTGTCATAGCTCCAAGATGTTTTTTTTTTTTTGTTTTTGTTTTTGTTTTTGTTTTTGTTTTTTACATTATGATCACTAAATCTTTATATTCTTTTATTGTTTCCCCTTCTTGGTCAAATTTTGAGGAAAATTTGTTGTTTTTACAGGACAAATAGGGTATGCTCTTGTTCCCATGATTGCTAGAGGAGCAATGCTGGGTCCTGATCAACCTGTAATTCTGCACATGCTTGATATCCCACCTGCTGCAGAGGCCTTGAATGGGGTGAAAATGGAGTTGGTGGATGCTGCATTTCCACTTCTTAAAGGTGGATGTTCAATTATTAATCAATCTTTCTTGAAGCCTGTATTGGAGATTACTGAATTGAATTAATCAAATGTTCATACATAATTATGTTTCAGGTGTTGTTGCTACAACCGATGTTGTTGAGGCATGCACTGGGGTAAATGTCGCAGTCATGGTTGGGGGTTTCCCAAGGAAAGAGGGAATGGAAAGAAAGGATGTGATGTCAAAGAATGTCTCCATCTACAAGTCCCAAGCCTCTGCTCTGGAAAAGCATGCAGCTGCAAACTGCAAGGTGTGAAGAAAACACCATTAGGCCATCTGATTATTTAGACAAAATTCAGTCATATGAATGCAGAGAGATTTTACTCATTTAGGCTTAGTTTGGAATGAGTGTAAATACAAATATGTACAGTACAAATACAGGATTAGAAATATAAAATATAAGGCTTTGCACTGTACATATTTGTATTTGTACTCTTCCCTTAGGCTCAGTTTGGAAAGGATACAAATAAAAAAATGTACTGTGCAAAACAAGGTTTACAAATATGTACAGTACAAATACAGGTTTAGAAATACAAAATATAAGGCTTTGCACTGTACATATGTGTACTTGTACTCTTCCCTTAGGCTCAGTTTGGAAAGGGTACAAATACAAAAATGTACTGTGCAAACACAAGGTTTAAAAAATACAGTATGCAAGGTTTTGAACTGTACATATTTGTATTTGTACTCTTTCCAAACTGAGCCTTAGGCTCCATTTGGAAGGAGTACAAATACAAATATGTAGAGTGCAAAACCTTATATTTTGTATTATTTTGTATAGATTTGTACTGTACATATTTGTATTTGTACTCCTTCCAAACTAAGCCTTAAGTGCAAACTAGGAATGTTCTTGATGTTATTCTGAGATGCATTTGCATACAGGCACCATGTGAAGCTTTGCCATGTTTTTCTTAATGCTGTCCTTCACAGGTTTTGGTCGTTGCCAATCCAGCAAACACTAACGCCTTGATCCTGAAGGAGTTTGCACCTTCTATCCCTGAAAAGAACATAACTTGCTTGACGAGGTTGGACCATAACAGGGCACTAGGACAAATCTCTGAGAGATTGAATGTTCATGTTGCTGAAGTTAAGAATGTTATTATATGGGGTAATCATTCTTCAACTCAGTACCCTGATGTCAACCATGCAAAGGTTGTAACACCTGGTGGAGAAAAGTCTGTGCGAGAACTTGTCGCTGATGATGGATGGTAATACAGATAACTGATCGTTTTATAATGCACATATTTCTGGTGGGAACTTTTATAAGCACATTTTAGTTTCATTTTGAAGGTTGAATGGGGAGTTCATCACCACTGTCCAACAACGTGGTGCTGCAATTATCAAAGCCCGAAAGCTATCTAGTGCATTGTCTGCTGCAAGTGCTGCTTGTGACCACATACATGATTGGGTTCTTGGGACGCCAGAGGTTGCTTTCGCTTTTTCTTGGACAATATGCATATAGAAATACATTGTTCCTTGTCTGCGAATGCATGCATCTACAGAAATTTGTTTTGTGAATGTTATTCCTTTCTGATCTTTCAAGTGAATGTTGTAGGGAACCTGGGTTTCCATGGGTGTGTACTCTGATGGATCATATAATGTGCCTGCTGGCCTGATCTATTCATTCCCCGTAACTTGTCGTAATGGAGAATGGACAATTGTTCAAGGTAAGACCTGATAGTGTTGCTGGCTAAACATGCCTTTTCAATTATTGTTTCTGACTTTGATATGCTTCTTGTTCTTTTCCTTTTAAGGTTTCATGAGAGACTTTTTCCTTCACACAGATGTTTAAACTAACACATTTCCTTTTTTCAAACATGATCAGATCATTGTTTTTTTTTTATTTGAAAAAGTAATATTTCTATACCCATTAGAAAAAGTAATATTTTATTAGCAAAAGAGGCAAATATAGATGTACAGAAAGTACACAGTATACTAATAAAGGTCCATGCTGGCATCCTCAATCAATAAAATTAGGGAAGAGCTATTGCATACAAATAGGCCCTGCCCACTCTGCTCATTGGTAAATTATCAACCACTGAATTTTGATCCCAAAGAATCTACCTAATTGAAGAGAGGAAAGGAGTTCACAAAACATCTTTGATCTCGTTCAGAAAAGTGCATTAATCCCTGTGGGCCAGAACCTGCTTGCAGAACCCATTTTCAGCATTTATTGAATCTTCACAAACTAAATACAAAGGAAGACACATACTCTTGACAATTCTTGTCCCAGTAAGCAAGGCCATAAGCCCATAATCTCTGAATTCACAGGTTAAAGAACATCACTGATCACCCCACACCTGGTACTGGTAGGGATTTGACAGACACATGATGGGACACAATTTCTGTTCATTCTGTTGTGGCTTTTTTGAAAAATTTATTCCTGAATGTCTATAGTCTTGAGTCTTTTGACATGTATTTATAACAGAATATTCATGAACATTTCTTATATTCATAAGATAAAAGTGCCGTAAATAAACAGAGCCTTCGGTTCTATTAGGAATCAACTGAAGGTAAACATATAGTATTAGTATGATAGTAACTTATCATATTGAAGATWTGTGGTGAATACCTGTATCCTCAACTAGGGATATGATCATTTCTGCATGGGCCTGCATCACCTAGTCCGGCCCAGAAGTTTAATATATTAATATATACTAAATTCTTTTGTAATTTTAAATATAAACATATATTTAAGTTTTAAGTTTTTTTAAATAGTTTTATTAATTGATGCAGGCCCAGGCAGCCCAAAATGCTTTTACTACCCTGTTAAAACTGGGCCAAGCATTATTACCCTATTCTCACCCCGTCCCCCCAAAGGAAAAGAAACCTCTTTTCATAGTTGTCCTGCATACCTTGGGTATAGTTTTAAAAATTTTGGTGCAGTTATTTTACAATGCTGTGCCTTTGTAGATTATTTTGCTTCCTGCAAACTGCTAGTACTGCCTCAAATAATTAGAAACTCATAGATAGAAGAAACCAACTAAATTAAAAGTTAAGTGGCAAGAATATACATATTCATCTTGATTAAACAGGTAAATTATGTTGAAGCATACTTATTGACAGAATATCCATAAAATAATTTGTAGTGCATTGAGGACACTTGCTATTCGATGCACTGCAAGTTCCACTTTGAGAAGAGTCAAAAGGTGGTGAATGTGAAGTTTGTCATGGATTTTTAAATTTTTTATGACATGGAAGACACTTGCTCTTCTACTTGTAGAAGAGGAACTAAATGGTGCTGAATAAAGTTGTTGGACTTATAGTACATTGAAGGCTTTTAAATGGTTCTGGATCAGAGTGTGGGGTGAGTTTCAGTTTGACAATAGGTGTTATGCTTATGTTCAGACTCTTCAGAGTGGATGTTGGATATCAAGAATTCAAAGGTATTAGAATTTGATACGAAAGTGTAAACTTTTAGTTCTTGGCCAGAAAAAAAAAAAAAAAAGATTGTTAAGGAAAGTAAGAGTTGTACTGGAATGAAAAAATGTAGGACAAGATGGCCTAATGGGATTAAATGGGACTATGAATTAGGAGGGAGGATGGGTTGTGTTGGTAGGTGGTGTAGGTTTTTTTCATCTTCTATAAAGTAAGATCATGAGAGTGTGAAGGTGGTTAGCAGACAGGGGACTCTTTGCTTTGTACTTTCTGGTGTTGGTCCCTTCAAGTGTTGGGGGGTTAGAATTGCGAAGTCTTTGTGTTTCTTTCTCCTAGGACAAGATGGATGTAATCAGTTTCTTCTTTTTTAATAAAATTCTTTTTCTTTTTTCGAAAAAAAAAAGATGGCCTAATGGGATTAAACTCCCCCTTTTATATATTAATAAATAAGTTTAATAAAAAACGTAAGTTAATAAATTGGTACAAATTTCAGATTTCCAAATGATTGATTTACTGTTCTTGCCTAGTTGCCTATCTTATTTTGTCCATTACAGTTCTAATTTATTCCTTCAAGAATGAGTTGTGAAACTTCAAGTGCAGCAATTTTAGAATGCTAGACCTTTGCATATTATTTTTCTATATTTATTTCTTAGATAAATATTTCTCATGGAACTTGTTGATGATCAAAAAGATGAAAAAAAATTCCTCCTTGTTAGTTCCTTAAGTAATTAAGTTGCAAAACTAACAATTTCAAATTAATACATGTCTAGTACTGTTACGTTTACAGGTCTAACATTTTCAGGACTCTCATCTATTGTACAGGACTCTCAATCGATGAATTCTCAAGGAAGAAATTGGACTTGACAGCAGAGGAGCTCAGTGAAGAGAAATCTCTTGCATACTCGTGCCTTTCTTGAGTGCCATCGTCCCTCATCATCAGGAGCTCAGTAAAAAGAGCTTATGAAGTAGCTTCAGTTTTGAAATAAGTCATTTTGAATTCTATAAACATTGTTGATGATGGAGAAGCTGCTTCTGTCTGTTTTTTTTCTGCCATTTTTATAGCTGTGTAAGAGACCTGAATTTTTCACTCCTTAGATGTCATTGATGAGTGCAGGCATGCTTTTTTTTTTTTAAATGATAAAATGAAACAGGAACAGGAATGGTTAATACCAGTGTTTTTAGTAGCTTTGGCTCTGTCTAATTAATTTTTACTCTTTATTTGTGATTAGTTATGTGGAAATCAAATAGCAGGTAACATGTCTCTTTATATAGAACCTCGTGTTGGACGTGACAGAGGGCCGTTGTAGTAATTGAAGTTACAGCTGTGGGCGAGTTTTCCTCCCTGAAAAATTGTTAAAAAGTTGTTCTTCCTCGCGAGGACCCTAAACAATTAGGTAATATGAAAGCCACAGGACCAAACGCCATGGTTTGGTGTTACTGTGTCTGCACATGGGCCATCAAACGCCATGGTTTTCTATGCACACAAGGTGGGGCCTATGAAAACTCGTTGCATAAATTCCTTCAGAAAACGTTACAAGATCAAAATGTGAATTTTTCAATGTATTTAAGAATAGATAAAAATATAAAATCCTAAGTCTCGGTATCTCACGATTCACGAATCACGACCTTCAATGTAAAATCAGGTTGGAGGTGCCGGGCCGCAAGCTAGCTGGCTGGTGGTTTCAGAGACTTGGGACTGCTGAATCCAGCCTTTCAAGGTTGAGATCCATTTTTCGACTCTGTAGCCGAGCTACCCATCCTAAACATGAATTTTGTGGAGATTGGATAATGGAAGTGAGCACTGAGCAGTAATGGCCTTATGGGCAAAGATGATAAGAGATGAATATTTTCCAGATACGAGTATATACCGGGATATGAGATGTGTTGTTGCTTGTTGGATGGAGAAAACATTAATGCAATTACAGATCCATGGCTGCCTACATTACAGTGTAATGTTCTTTCTCTAAAACAAGGATTCGATCCAAATGAGCTAAAAATAAAAGGTTCAGAGTAAATTCAAGAGAATAGTGAGTTGGATGATCAGGAATTGGGAAATTTTTGTAGACATGCTACAATAAGCCATATTAAGCAAATACCCCTGCGCCGCACTGAACAAACAAGGGATATTCTTCTCTGGAAGAGGAATAATTCAGGTAGACATAATGTAAAATCAGCATATTTTTCTTTTATTATGGAAATTTAAGTATAACAAAAGTCATGTATATAGGCAGGTGGGTAGCTGTATGACATTTTGGATAGTAATGAATGATGCTTGCAGATGTTTTTCCGGAATAAAAAACATGAATATTCAATATTCTTCCATTTGCAGTTCAATCACCGTTCTCTTGATCTCTACTTCTCTTTGGTTCTTTCTGCTAATATTCTTCCCGAGGCTCGGTGATTTGCCGATGTCGACCTGCAACTAGCGGCTTGTCGGCTGTCGAATCTTCTATCTACTTTTATTTCTTCGCATTTGCAAATGGCCAACGAAGTGTAGCGATACGGAATGATATGGACTATGGATTACCTTATTGTTTTGYCAGAAAATATCAAGAATAAGGCCAGTTTGTCTAATATGAAATGCTTCTATTCCTCTGTAAATCATGTAGATAATTGTGTTTAAGGTTAAATCCGCTACTCCAGTCAATGTACCCTTGGGCTAAAATCGTGAAATCACAGCCTTCTTATATTGTATGGCCCTACCTTAACGTCACTTTATCTAATTCAAGGTGGGGCTACAGCAGTACATCGAGAGACATGAACGAGATTGGCTTCAGTCAGTGCAAGACCCATTCGAACAGCCTTTACAGTCATGCACTCGAAATATCTCTGCACCAAGGTTCTAACTATCGATATAGGTTGAAATGCCGGTAGGGTGTATTGACCTGTATCGATGGTTTTTTTTGTGTTTTAMTTATTTATTTTTTAAAACCGACTTAGAAGGGTCGGTTTAAGTCCTGACTACCCTCTGAACTATGGCCTGATCCGATACATCYCCTATAGGGGTGTATTGGGAAAGCCCCGATATGATATGTATCAGCCGATATGTAATAATATTTTGAACCTTGTTCCACACTTCTATGCTTTATTTTATGGGGAGATCTTCCCAATGCAAGGCTATAATGAGTGTTCGAATGGGCTTTGCACTAATTGAATCTGGTTTCTGATTCATTGTTTTAGTCGGTGTTTTAAAAACCCACTTGGAAGTCGAACTGTTTTTGCCTTAGGGTTGCAGGCCACTTGTTTGATTAGTTGTATTTATAAAAATATTAAAATTTGCAATTTGAGGCCAAAAAGGGTTTTTTTYCACAAAAAGAGAAGGGCAAGACACTTATGGCTCCTTGGGACGCATAGATCTTAAAAAGTTACCAAAAAAAACAAAACACCTCAATTAGACATCGGAGTGTAAAGATATGGCCTTGGTCACCGGRTCAACCGGATCAATAGTCCAACCGTTTGAGTCGAGTGATTTTTAACAAAGTCAAAGATTTTTGGCATTTCTTCAGGTTTTACTCGAACCGGACTCGAGATCTTGATTGGGTGATGGTTGAAACGGTTTAATTGGCTGGGTCAAYGACAGGTTGAAAACATTGGTTTTAGCAAGGACGATCTTTTTTATAACTTAGAGGTAATCTTAGGTTCTAGGGATTGTTAGGAAGTCAAAGGAACTGGGAAAGGATAAAAGGGAATCCATATTTAGTAGAGGATTCAAAAGTATGAGAGGCAAGGGCGGGTTAGAGGTGGAAGAGAGAGATATAGAGGTATAAATCGTACTGTGCTGCCCATGGCTCGGCATGACAGCACGTGGACTGTGTCGGGCATGACATGATGAGTTGGGCTGTGTTGGGCTTGGGTTTCCAAGCCCATGGGCCGGCATGACATGACATGATTGAGTGGGCAGTGTCACCCCGGCCCAACATCGACCTACATGGGCTCAGGCCATGGGCCATGCCAGACCAAMCCCCCGAAATATCCCAGGGGAGGAAAGCATGGCCTGACTCTGCTTGCGAGCTAGCACGGCACGACAGGACCCAATTTATACCTCTAGATAGATAGATTGTTTTCTTGATTTGTGTTTTGATTTTTTTTCGTGTTCATTTGATMGAGTTTTTGTGGAAATGCTCTTTTGTTATTATTATTTTTATTTATTTATTTATTTATTTTGAGGGAGGGGATTTGGCTATTTCGAGTTGGGGTGTAAAGATGGGTTGGCTGGGGGCCCTAGTTTTGTCTCTTGAGCCCTTTATGTATCTTTCTCTTTTCTTCTTTTTTAATAAAAATTTAATTTTATTAATAAAAATTCATGGTTTTAGCTAGGCCAATGGGGGTAGCAGATTTTTCTCAATCGTGTTTGTATTGGTTTTAGATGACAGTAGTTTTTTTCCTTTAATTCAAGATTTAAATTCTTACGGTGAATTGCAGTTACACATTTCTATTATGAATTGAGAGATGTATGATTGCAATTCACGACGGATAGAGAGTGGATAGGAAAAATGAGTAGGAAATCTGGGTTCTCGGCATATTGGATCTATAGATCTTGGATGCAGATTTAGGGGACGGAAGATTTTGAAGAGCTGGATTTCTTTTTGTTTGCAAATGATTGAAATCACCAAACCATCTTTGGGGTGGGGCAGTAATTTTGAAGTTCGTATATTTTTGAGAAAATGGAAACATATTTCTGTTTTTGTATAGGGTAAATTACTAAAACCCCTAGTAATATGGGGTCAGTGACAAATAGTCTCTGAATTTTCATTTGCCACAAAAATCCCCTAAACTTTTATTGTGACAAAACCTCCTTAAACTTTCACTTTGCAATAAGTACCCCCTTTGTTAGAGTTCTGTCAATTAACTTCGAAAAAGTTTCATTCAGCTGTTTAAAATTTTTTAAATTTCCAAATTACCTTTTTCTTATTTTTATGAATGATTTATGATTTGATTAGTTTTTTAAATATAACATTGAAGCCCTCTTGGTTATCCAATTGAAATTTCAAATTTCTGGAYGGATTCAATATTCAAATGGAATGGTAGATGTTTCTTTCTGATAGATATAAATGCATAGTTTCATTTGGTTTTTTCTTGAATTATTGGAGAAAGGAGTGGATAATTTTTATATTTTAAGATGAAGAGAGACATTCATATGAGTGAAATAAATCGAGAAATTAAAAAAAAAAAACTTTATTTTCTATGCCAATGAAATGATTCTTGTTATTTTTGTTATTTTAGATGGTTTTGTTTAGAGAAAATGAAAGTATTTTTGACCAATTAGGGTTTAAGAGAAAAAAAAAGGCAAGAAAAAAGAAAATTAAAAAAAAGTTTAGATGGATATTTTGATAATTTAATGCATTATGTCATCTGGCTTAATGGTCAAGGGTTATTTATCGCAAAAGAAAGTTAAGGCGGTATTTGTCAATGACATCATAATACAGGGGGTCTTTGTAATTTACTCTTAAACCCGGCCCAACCCGTTTGAATTGCAATGCAATTTAGAATTTCAGAGATTCTTTTTCTCTATGACAGGACATGCCCAAGATACCTAGTTTTTTTTGGTATATGATTTTGCTGATGTGATAGTTGTATTTCTTCTCATTTATGAATGCCGATATGCTACAAACTGGGTTACTAAAGCAATCACAAGTAAATACATAATAACGTAAGTGCTCTGTATACATGGGATTCATATGTGATTGATTTCACATGGTATTTGCAGTAGATCCCATGTTGAATGAATCGGCATCTGAGTCCCTTAGAGCACGCCCCACATTATATCGCAATTAGACATGTTCATGGGCTGTGCTTTGGGTTTTACTTTACACCATGGTTCAAAGTATCAATATGTTTCTGTGTATTAATAGAGGCGTATCGGTACTTAGATACAAACGGAAATATTTTTTTTATTTTTTTTTAATTTAGTTTTTGGGAAGATATTTAAATATATTTTTTATTAAAAAAGAGTGAAGTCCCGAAACACCTTTAAACAGATGTGTCAGACCCCCAAAAATATGATATGATATACCTGATACATGGCATATCGTATCAAAATTTTGTACCTTGCTTTACACTATATCGGACTTGGGATTTGGGCCAGGCCCATTCAAATTTAGACAAAAGTTAGACCAAAACCTATGAACAGGTCTAATTGCAACCGTCTCTTAGAAATATCTCCCAATAAGAACTATGGGAGATARTCCCAATTCACGCTCAAATG